GTCTTTGTCCACCTATTCTTGATGTATTTGCTGCATAAGCTACAGGTGAGTCTTTCATTCGACTTTGCCCACTTAAGTGCTTGTCTTTCGGTCAGATGGTTGTTGAAGTTGAAAGAGGACACAGCAAAATGCGGTCTCTGGAGACGTGCAATCTGTGGAATATCTCTATCTTAGAAATAAGTCGTAGTATCAACGGGACGAATTCAATTGGTACACCCACTATATGTTCATATACTGAACCCAGTTATGAATCCAGATGGCAGATGCAACCACATGAACAGAATAAGTAAGTTTCGAATTACGCAGGGCCAGTGAGTTCAATCATCATATCTCAACGCCGCCCGCCCAAAAAGGGGAAAATAGGAGTCGGTGAAACTCCAAAGAAACAGTTTGTCACAGCCTCTCATTTGTTGTCCTCTTCTCCCTCTCTGCCTACGGTTTACCGGGCAGCTCTGTTTGACGATATATATATATCGTCACATAGATATCAGAGCGCAAAAGCAAAAAAAGCAAACAAAGGAAACAAAAACATATCAATTCATTTTTTATCTTCTTCCTTACAAGACTCCCCCTGTTCAAAACCTCTTGCGTACAAGGCCGCCCACGTGGATGTAGGTTGAGCGGCAGCTGCCCCCACCGCCGTGTGTCATATCGACCCACTTGCACACAGCCAAAAGGCGAAGAGGCAAAGAAAAGAGGAAGGGAACAGCCAAACATTACAGAACAGGGGGCAAACGAATCCTAGATGACAAGTCCCACATGCAGACACCGCCCCCGACAGCACAGGCCAAATGACGGGACAAACCAGCCAGGATTCAAGACACGGGAACTGTGAGATGGTTGAACGATGAGCCAGGCCAATTTCAACATAAATGAATACCAGAGAACAAATTCTACCATATCCAAATCTGAAGCAAATATGTATGATGCATAGCTACGCAGGACCGGACCCTGGACCGAATCCGGGCCCTGGAATGCGGACCTTCCGGGCCCTTTAGGACTTCCAGAACACCGGAAATTTCTTCAGGATCCAGACCGGTCCGGATCCCCTTTCCGGATGCATATCCGGATATGTCGTATTTTCCGGGGAAAAAAAAAAAAAAAAAAAAAACGCGTACGTACTACGTACCTACATTACCTCTGTGAGTTGGCATATTCGCTATACGCTAAAAAAAGAGCATGACTGCCGGTGTGTGTGTAGGATGAGCAAAATCGGAATGCATCTTCAGCCAGAACATGGAAATATACTCTGCCACACCTTTTTTTCTTCTTTTTTTTGTGTGTGTGCATCAACTGAGCAGCCTGCTAATATCCACCGCGGCCGACAGATACATTGAAAAGAAATCCCGGTGGTGCTGTCAGATGCAAATGTCGCCGAGAGAGAGAGAGAGAGAGAGAGAGAGAGAGAGAGAGAGAGAGAGAGAGAGAGAGAGAGAGAGAGAGAGAGAGAGAACAGGTAAGTCTCGCGGCTGACCTCATGGTACTTCCATCGATAGGATGAGCAAAACCGAATGATCTACCACTATAACATGGAAATATACACTGCCGCACGTGTGTGTGTGTGTG